CTTTACAAAAAATACCCAATTTGTTGATGGTTTTTGGCAACATAATAGCTAAATACTCATTTAGCATACATCCTCCCCGGGGTATGTAGAAGAGGACATATGAATCAAGCAAAACTAAACATAACATCATCTCCTATGCCAAATGGGTATGGGATGGTAAGGTTGCCAGATTTTTTTCGGGGCAGTTCGAAAGGGCTATTTGTGAGTGACAAGGACCAGAGGCAACTGATGATATTCTTTCTAATTTTTGTACACCTATTAAATTAGCTACAATTGCCACTATAGAACAAATTTATGTAGCAACATTCTTGTAACTAACTCTATGGATTAATTAGCTTAGTTATGTACAATGAGGCGGAGTGGATAATGATCAAAGTAACTTACATCAAGACAAAATTAAACAATTACTTCATAGCTCACAGATAATATTCATTCAATTGATAATTTAAATACAATATCTAACATGGTGAAGCACCAAGCCTTATTCCCTCTCCATCCAAGTCGGCAACCATCAAAAGCATGAATATTGGAAACAACACAAATTAATCTTTCAATTAATATTCAAACTATCAACGAACCTTGTTCCTTCATCTACAACAAGGTCAAGTTATAGCAGAGCATGCATAGTTCTATACTCATCTACCAAATTAGAAGAGAGATTACTTAACAATTCAATCAAATCCAATCATATATATCAAAATTAGTTTTATAATTAAATATTAGAAACTCATAACATCCTTCGATACAATTAAACAAGTACACACAAATTTACTACTCCGTAAAATCAAGCAACATTAAACAAAAACAGCTCAAAACAAAGAAGGTGAAGGAAAACAAAGAAAGTGAGGAACTAAGAGTACATATTCGGCAATAAATCCACATAAATTGAACCAAAAAAAAACTCAAAACAACTATATTCAACCGAAATCGAAAATTTCTAAATAAAAAACAAGAAAAAAAATCAGAAAATTAAAATAAAATTCAGAAATCAAAAGATTAATTAACATATCTTAATTTCCAGCTAAACTTTAAAATTTTTTAAAAAAAAAGGTTAACATGAAATTCAGAAGAAATAACTTCATAATCTAACCTAGGTATTTCAAATTAAGAAAAATAACAAAATTACTAATATAATGCAAGAATAAAGATGGATAACTCACTTGATAGATCGTTGATAAAGAAATTAATGAAGAATCGAAGAAACTTCACCTCGATCTAAGAAATTAACATCAAATATGGTAGAATGATCGAGAAATTAGGAGAGAGAAACTAAGAACAAGAAGAGAGGAGAGAGAAATAACGCGTGATCATAAAACAGGAGAGAGAAACTAAGAGCTTTTGTCCGAAAATTAGGGGGAAATCCCAGCCGTCGAATGTGATCTACGGCTCTGATTCAGCGTTTTTAATTTTCAGTTTACCACTTGTTTTCACGTGATCCTATCCCTATATATATATATATATATATATATAGGACCGAGTTATAAGAGCTCTTTCCCAAATTAAAGTCAAGAAGAACCGCAATTCCCAAATTGCAGCCAAAGTTTTAAGAATTCCCAAAGTACCGTCCACGTCACCGGTTCAGGGGGAAGAAATTTTAAATCCGGTCTACAGCAAAACCGCTACCTGAAGTAGCGGTTTTTACTAATAAACCGCTACTTCAGGTAGCGGTTTCTTTTTAATAAACCGCTACTTCAAGTAGCGGTTTTTGTTTAATAAACCGCTACTTCAAGTAGCGGTTTTCTAGCAGGTATAATTTCCTGATTTCACTTTCCTCTTTCATTTTCGTCTTCTCACCAAAATCCCATCCACGCCTTCCACCAAAATCACACCTCCTTCAACGGAAGCCGGCGCAGCCAAGGAATCCACCGACACCGCCGGAGCATTCCTCAGCAACGAAGGCCGCCGCTGTTGACGCCGAGGGTTCGACTTTAGTGGTCGGCTTCGCTAATTTCAGAAGAAACGTGCTGATCTTCTTGTTTGTGGTAAGTGCCCTAATTATTTTTTGTATTCAGTTATTGGGTTTGTTGTTGTTATTGAGTTTGTTGTTGTTATTGAGTTTCAGAATTGTATGTATGTGTTGTTGTTGTTGGTTTTGGTTGTGTTGTTGTTGTTAGTGTTCTTGTTTATTGTTGTTGTTATTGAGTTTCGGTTTTGGTTGTGTTGTTGTTGTTAGTGTTCTTGTTTATTGTTGTTGTTATTGAGTTTCAGAATTGTATGTATGTTTGTGGTTGGTTTTGGTTGTTGTTGTTGATTTACTTACCTTACATATAACCCTTGTAGAATTATTAATGGTTTCGATCACATTACTCAGTTTAGGTTGCTATAATTGCTGATTTTGAAAGTGAAAATAGAGCTTCTATACACAAAGTACATGAACTCAAAGTACATGTAGTCATGACTTATGCCCATGTTGAGCTTCAAGAGGTATTAAGACCTTCATAGCTCAGTTTAGGTTGCTATAATTGTGTAGTTTGCTTGCTTGATGTTAGGACATTGCCACACTGTTAATGAATTTTTGCAATCTAATATCTTTGATTAATAATGGTCTTTTCTAGAATGAAACATGGAGGTTCCGAACTACCCTCTATATTGCTATTGGGGTGGAGAAATTGTCCACAAAGATAGCGATATAACGTATAGGGGTGGGAATCAAAAATTTGTGTTTGTACATTCTGCGATGACATATTCACAAGTTCTGAACAAGCTATATGAAGAATTGAGTGTTGATCCTAGAGGTGTGGAGTTGAAGGTGGTTATGCGTTATCCTATGGCTGGGGCATATGTTGCAATTCCGTTAAATGACGACAACGCTGTTAGAGCTATGTGGATTGCTGTGACTCAGAGTTCTTCTGTTGCAATGCAATTGTTCATTGAACAAGTTCCAAAGGAGCCAGTTGTGCAAACTAACACTGGTTCCTTTCCGGGGATGGATTTTTTTGGTAGTGTGGATCAACCGTTTTCCACTGGTGTTCAAAGTGTGGGCATAGGGTCATTCACAAGAATGCTTGTTGATCCACATTATGTCAATGACCATCTCTCACAGTTTAGGTCTCCGGCCTCATCGCCTAATGTTGGAACCTCGACAAGCACACAACCACAAGGCATTCTTGATTCTCTTGACCCAAACAATGTTGATGTATTTGGCGATGCAGAGATGAATGACACTGATGAAGATGATGATGAAGAGGTAATTGAAGCTCGTGATAAGGCAATTAAAGGAAGCGCCCCCACTTCAGACTTCAATGAAGTGGCGCAAGTTGATCCTCGTTTGAATAACTCATGGATGTCTTGGTTAGGAAATGAGACATATAACAATGGGGGAGAATTTGAGGTTGGTCAGCAGTTTGACTCATTGCAACAACTGAAAGATGCTGTGAAATCTTACTCCATAGCTAGAAATCAAACAATTCGAGTTGTGGAGGCAGAGCCAGAGAAATATGTTGTTGAGTGCAAGAGGAAAGAACAACGTAGTTGTTCGTGGAGGCTTAGAGGAGTGAAAGATCCAACACTCTCTACGTTTAAAATTGTGAGGTACAACGGCCCTCATGCAAGTAACTGTGTTGGTGACATCGACTCAGGAGATCATAAGCTACTGACTTCCGAGTTCGTTTGCAATGCTCTTCTAGATGTCATTCGCGTTGATCCTTCATTGAAAATCAAGACAATGGTGCAACTTGTGAAAGAGAAATTTGATGGATTCCAAATAACCTACAAGAGAGCATGGCTAGCGAAACAAAAGGCAATAAAACTCATTTATGGGGATTGGGAGGGTTCATATGAACAGTTGCCTAAGTACATGCAAGCTCTCAAGGAATCAAATCCTGGAACTGTTGTTGAGTGGAGGTTGTTAGAGTGTACGGTTCCTGGAACACATGTTTTTCAACGAGTCTTTTGGGCATTCAAGCCATGTATTGATGGATTCCGTCACTGCAGACCCCTTATCACCATTGATGGCACTCATTTATATGGCAAATACAAAGGCACTCTACTCATTGCTATGGGAACGGATGCCAATTTTCAACTATTCCCCCTTGCTTTTGCGGTTGTCGAAGGAGAGAACAATGATAGTTGGTCTTGGTTCATGGCTTGTATTCGTGCTCGAGTTACAGATAGGAAAGGGCTATGTGTGATATCTGACAGACATGCTGGTATTTTAGCAGCAATGGAAGAAGTTGGAAGTGGTTGGGAGGAGCCCAATGCCTACCACAAGTACTGTACACGACACTTGGCTTCTAATGTGAACTCAAAATTTAAAAGTGTCGTCATAAAGAACCTCTTTGGCAAAGCAGCTACTGCAAGGCAGAAGAAGAAGTTTGATTACTACATCAACAAAATTGGTGACTTGAATGTAGAGGCCCGTAGGTACTTGATGGAAATTCCGTACAGTAAGTGGTCCATTCATCATGATGGTGGTTTCAGGTTTGGTGTGAAGACTACAAACATGTCGGAAGTTTTCAACGGAGTCTTAAAGGGGGCTCGATGTCTCCCGATAACCGCTTTAGTGCAAATGACCTTTTTCCGGGTTAACTCCTATTTTGCAACTAGAAGAAGTTGGAGTAAAAGAAGACTTGAAGAGGGCCATGAGTTATCGGAAAAGACTAAGAACACAATAGAAGCCAACATGGAGAAAGCCACGCACCATGAGGTTGTTGCTTTTGACTATGATGCCATCGGGTTGTATCAGGTTAGGACCGGTTGTGGAAGAAGAAAAGCTGGTAAAGGTGGTAACTCCCACACTGTGAATCTGTTGAGCAAGACATGTACTTGTGAGAAATTGAGAATATACAAGCTCCCATGCTCTCATGTACTAGCAGTTTGTCGTCATAGAAGCCTATCACATGCAGACTTTGTGGATTCTTTTTTCATGACCGCCGAATATAGGCGTTCATACGCGAAGTGTTTCGCACCAGTTCCTGATCCTTGCCACTGGTCAGCTTACAATGGTCCTACTACTATTGCCAACCCAGATTTGAAAAGAGGCCCAGGCCGACGGTCCACTAGAATTCGAAATGAAATGGATGAGCGTCCCAATCGTGTGAAGAAGGCATGCAGTGTTTGTCGGCGACCTGGGCATAACAAGAAGACATGTCCTACTCTTATTGGTGGATTTGGATCATCTGGGTAACATGATTAATTATATATTCTTGTTTAATATTTATGTTTTTTCTCGAACGCTTAACATTAATTCAATTTTTTGTTATCGTGTAGGTCCCATGGAGCCGGTGATTCGTCCAGGCCCAGTTGATCCATCTGTTCTACGCTTGCAGACTTCCCATAGGAGCCACGATGTTTGGAGTGGCGTAGCTGATAGAGTTCTCTCAGTTAGGGAGCATATGGTCAGCGTGGGACGTGAGTGGAGGGTAGATGGCGGAGTACTAGAGTACGTTAGGCTTGCTGGGTTTTACGGTGTACATAAGATTTTGGGAGGAGGGTTTTTGCTTGATCGATCTCTTCTTACGGCGTTGGTTGACAGGTGGAGGCAGGAGACACATACTTTCCACCTAGTGGTAGGTGAGGCCACCATTACTTTACAGGATGTCTCCGTCCTGTTAGGTCTGAGAGTGCACGGCCCTCCTGTCATTGGACCTCCATTTGAGGGATGGCATGACCTAGTTGAGGAGTTGCTGGGAGTTCGACCTGGCCATGATGATAACGGTAAGCCGTTTCTGGAGGGATCTACTTTGAAGTTGACGTGGCTCAGACGTCACTTCTCACAGATGCCAGAGGGAGCTGATGACTTGACAGTTCAGCGCCATAGCCGTGCTTACATTCTCACTCTCATGGGATCTATTCTGTTCGCCGACAAGAGTGGCGATGCTGTGTCACTCTACTACTTGCCGTTCCTTCGAGACTGGGAGACAGCTTCGACCTACAGCTGGGGGAGTGCGGCTCTTGGTTTTTTGTATCGGCAGCTATGTCGAGCATGTCAGCGAGATTCAAGACAGATTGGAGGCCCGCTCATCCTACTACAGTTGTGGTCGTGGGAGCATATTACTATTGGCCGACCATACATTAGGAGGCCTCGAGATCCGCCACAGGAGGACCCTGAGGCTGAGGATGAGGATGACATTTTGGGGACTCAGCATCAGCGAGGTGTTGACCCTTTGGCGTGCAGGTACAATGTTTGCTTCAAGTTCATGTTCTTACAATTCTATCTTTCAAGAATTATTATTAACATGTCTTTACAGGTGGTTACGTGTCCATCTATCGTGTGCGCATACTGCTTCTGGACTACCATACTACAGAGATGCGTTTGACCATCAGCGCGAGGACCAGGTACAATCGGTGTTTCTTTTTTTTTTGTGCATTGTATTTCTTCCATTATGTTAGTCATATACATGTTGACATACTTGTTTTGGGAATTAGATGATTTGGCAGCCATATACTGAGGCGGTGATGGATCGACTTCCGGAGATTTGTCGCTCAGACATGCACATTTGGCGTTCACGGGCACCTCTGATATGCTTTGACGTCGTTGAGTTCCACCTCCCAGACCGAGTCCTTCGTCAGTTCGGGTTAGACCAGCCGATCCCACAGGATGTAGACACGGACGTTGCTCTACACAGGAAGGATCGAAGGGGACAACGTAATTGGGAGATTCGGCATTCGGACCATGTACACGAGTGGAGTCGACGAGAGGCATTAGTCGTCCAGGGATACCCGTTCACTGGGACTTCTTCCCCGGCCATGACAGAGTACATGGCTTGGTACCGTCGCATCACGAGACTGGTCATTACTCCACCTTCGCAGGAGCGCCCCCCGAGTCATTACCAGCCAGCTACCTCTGACCTCCTGCTTGTATGAACTTCACTTCATTTCAATCTAGTTCTTACGTTTTTGATTTCATTTTACTAACATTAAAACTACACTTAAATGTAGGCACATGCATTTGCTGATTTGCACGTCCAGCTATCGGGAGCTACTGAGACCATCTCCCACTTGCCACCAGAGACGGCTATACCATTTGCCATACAGACGATGCAGGGTTTTACATCATTTTGTGGCCAAACCTTGTCTAGGGTGGGGCAGTCACACCTTATTCAGCAGCCTCGACCGTCCACGTCTTCATCTTCTACTGTGCACACTATGCCGATCAGACCACCACCTCATCGTGGAGGCCATTCAGCACGTGCCTTCCGTCCACCGACTCCTTCTCAGCATACTATCATGACATCTCCTCCACTAGTGCATCGCCAGTATCAGAGAAACCGACGGCGTAGCAACACTACGTCTGGGGTTGGAGTTGGCCTGGATGACATTCCAGAGGAGACAACTGCATCATCTTCATCGTCACCTCATGGGAAGAAGCAACGCCCGAGCTAAGTGTATATTTTGGAACTAAACTAATTTTTTTGTAAATGCTTAGAATTGGATTTTGTTATATTTAATCAATTGAAAAATATTCGACTTTGCAATTTCGACTTCCTTAGATCTTCATAAACTTGTTATTTATGGTGGTTGTGTTGAAAATATGCTATATATCTCATGTTTTACAGGTACACAACTTGCAGGTTTTTTTTTTTGAGTGATTATGCAAGTTTGAAAAAAAAAACCAGTCCAGGGTAAACCGCTACTTCAAGTAGCGGTTTTTCAAAGTAAACCGCTACTTGAAGTAGCGGTTTTCCAAAATAAACCGCTACATAAAATAGCGGTTTTTTGTAAACAAACCGCTACTTCAAGTAGCGGTTTTAAACTAAGAAACCGCTACTTGAAGTGGCGGTTTATTGCAAAGAAACCGCTACTTCAAGTAGCGGTTTACCCTGGACCGGAAAAAAAAAACCGGTTTTTTAACCAGTGCTTACGTGGACGGTAGAACGGGAATTCTTAAAACTTTGGCTGCAATTTGGGAATTGCGGTTCTTCTTGACTTTAATTTGGGAAAGAGTGAGAACCATTCGTTTCCCAACCATCGAGCATTCGAGCGCACATCCTATCATTTCTCTCTCCTCAAGCATTTTCTCTCTCCTCCATAGCAATGAGTGCCTCTGAATTTTCCATTGAAGCGGCTTTTGAGCTAGCTCTACTCCAATGAAGCAGCTCCTGAGGTAAGATGTTTAATTTTCTCTTTTTTTTGTTTTGTTTTTTTGTTTTGTTTTTGTGAATCACGAATTTCAATTTAATGGTTTATCATTAATTTTTGTCAATTTAGGGTTCTTTATAGTGAAATTCAACCTTTTATTTATAATTTCTGAAGTTATGAATGGTATATCGATTGATTTTGTCAATTTTGGTTAAATTCCCCAATGAAATTTGTGCTTAAATTTTGATGCACATTAACTGTTTGATTAAATTCCCCAATGAAATTTGCAGGTTGATCAAACCTAACTACTTGAATTCATTTTTAGATTTAGATACATATTCAGCTAGTAGCAATAATTCTCATAAAAAAATTGTTATATGTTGTTTTGCGCTTTCATATTAGTAAGTAATGGATTGTTTGATATTATATGCAAAAGGATGTTCATGGGAAGTGGTATAGAGTAATGAAGAGAATTCGTCTTAAGTAAATACTTGCACAATAATATATATACAACAGTAAGAAATCAGTGCAGCTGTTGAAGATTCTACATTTTTAGGTTTGACAAGATCATACTTGGCGTTTTTAGCCTTATAAAGATGCTTAAAATCCTACAATTGAGTTGTATGAAAAGCATAGAGTATATGATTTCTAGTTTGAACTTTACTGCATGGGTTAAGTGTATATAACCCATATGTTTTTTAGATGTTTATTTGATAAAATGCCCCAATGAATCAAATTATTTTATCAATTTCACATGTAGATAGAAATCAAGTTATAGTAAACCAATTATATTTTAGAGTAACTAAATTATTTATGATATCAGGCATGTTCTGCCAGTAAGAGCCAAGAGTCAAGTTGGTCTCCTTCCACTCTTGGCTGAGTATAGAATGAGAATGGGCATTCTACCAGCAAGAGTCAGGTGAGGCCGGAAAATGTGGGGAGGAATGATGGCTGAGCCTCCACGTTATATGCTCAGTGGGTTGGGGGGTGTTGTTCGTGACAATGCTAGGGATGCTCTGGCAGCAACTTGTTGTAACCTTGCAAAATATTTGATTTTGATGTGGATGTTTTTGAAGCAATGGCTGCTAGACACATTCTCATTATGGCAATAGAAGCGGGGTTAACCGACAACCTGAAGCTATATCAACATTTGAAGAACAAAAGGCATGAGAACACAAGCTTCGGACTTAAAGTGTGGGATATCCTTCAGCTAGGTAGTTTTTGTTTGCTTTTGACATTTCAAGCTTATAATATTTCTCTTTTGCTTTCTATTAAATAAAATAAAATAAGGAAGACTATAAAGTGAATAAAAAAGACTTTAAAGTAAACCTATTAGCTCACGTGCTAGAGCACTATACGGAATTGCGGATGCATAGTGGTGTAGGTTCAATTCCTACATAGGTTATATCAATCAATCAATTAATCAATACCTTAATCCCATAAGTGAATTCAGCTAACATGAACCAAATTTGATTATTCCGTGTAGTCATGGACATAAATTTTTCTCCTCCATCATAAAACACTCTAAAGTTATTCAAATTGTATTAAAAGTGAATCAAATCGACTAAGAAGTAAAACAAATTAGCTCTAAAGTGCATGAATATCTTAATACATTATGTTGGTTTCTCAAGGTGTATACAGATGGGGAGATCATGGAAGTGGCTAAAGGGGTTTGGATTGTGATTAAATTTCATATCCTTACAAGATGAGTCAAGTTATATGAAAGTGGTATATAAATATTAATGTAAATGTTTTTTTCAAATTAAAAGTAAATAAAATAATACCAAAAGTAAATTAAAAATTCCAAGAATGTATGTATAATGAAATCATTTAATGGGATATACAAATATAGATACTTAGTTATGACTGATGTCTCCCTATAAGATGAGCCAAATCATAACCTACTTTACAAAATTGAAAATTAATCACATAAAGAAGCATATCAAATTAAAATAAATGTTTTGAAATAAAAAGTGAATACAATAATGTATAAATTAAATTACAAATCATATAAAAAAGTTGTTATTATTGGTCCAAGTGTGTGGAGCTATTAGGGTAAGGGTGGGGGTGGGGGGAGTGTTTCAGCTGCTAGCCATGCTGGAGCTGCTACTGTAAGAGGGAGGGTCGTGTTCTTGTTGCTGCTCGTTACAATGCTACCATTGCATTCGACCATTTGGGTGCGCTGTTTATAGGGGTTGGAGTCTGTGTGCTGCTACTCGTGTGGGTGTTGCTGCTCTAAGTAGGGGAAATAAGGCAACTGCTTCTCACTCTTGTGCTATTCACACATAATGGCGGTGCCCTCCTACAAGAAGGTGGATATGGATGCATATGTTTGAGTGGGGCAAGCTATTAGGTTTGGGATAGTGATCATGGATGAGTTAGATAAGGTTGTAGCTGCTGAAAAACTATTCTCATACTACACTTCTCCTGCAATTGCTGAAGTTCTCGCATTAAGATACGACCTCCAACTAGCAAGAAGATTGGGGTATTTAAAAGTAAATAAAAAAGAATCTAAAGTGAATAAAAAGACTTTACAGTAAACTGAATGAAATACAGACAAATAATTGAAAGAAATAATTTCATCTCATAAATAAACCAATAAAACAATATCCCTACCTTATAAAAAGTGAGAAGTTGCTCGTATGAATAGTGCACGGACCTTTTTGCCCTTCAAAATGTTTATTTACATTCTTACCCCTTTTTAATCCCTACCCATTAATGAGTTCTGCACTTTAATTTCTATCTCCTCAATCTTTATTCACCATCGCTGAAGAAAACCCAAAGAAGATGAAGCACAACCCAAAAGTAATAATTGACCAGCAATAAAGATGATGAATGTGAAAAAGCTTTTCATTAGCTCAATGGAGGCTATATTTTTAATTTGTTGCACAACATTTTACGTTATCAATCTGTCATAGGAAGATTAAAATAGTACTCCGTACTTAAAAATAATTTGCAATAATTATTCCCATAAATAATAATTGTAACTCTTTTCAAATTCCGTGCATTCATTTCCTATTATCAATTCAATTCTAATTAAAACCAAGCTCAAGAATGGCTAGAGTTTGTAACTATTTTTTTTAGGAAACTGATAGTTCTTTTATAATTCTAACAATTTATATACTTGGCTTTCCTATTTCTCCTTCATCTTAATACCTCCTTCACATTTAAAAAATAGAGGTTAGTATTCTTCAATGCACTATTTCACAGGGCGACTAACAAGAATTTGAAGTAATAACTACCACTTGGTAAGCTACTGTACGTTTAGATTGCATCAACATCCCTAACTAGACTTCGGGTTCTAAAGTGGACTATCAAAGCCATTTCCTTTTCCTAGACTCTACTAGAACAACTTAGCTACAACATGAATAAGTACACAGTGTTTCTTCATACAAGAACACTACCACATACAACATATTATGCTCAATGTTTGGTTGTAATTGTTGCTTTTGAACCTTTTGTTTGTAACATTTTCAAGGTTATGGTTGAAGAATATTATGCGTTTGGTTAGATGCTTTAGTTGTTCCAATAAACCTTAAAACTATGGTCTAAATTCGAAAGGCTTTATTAAAAAAAACACTTATTTTAAACACATAATGTAAAACAGTAATCGTCCACAACTAAAGTAATCGTTGTTCCACCCAAACACTGCCAAGTTTTAGCTACACTTGTGATAATTACGTATACATGTGATAAATGGATATTGCCATTCCTAAACACAAGCTGAAAAAAGCTAACTCGAAATGGCTAGCCGCGCGCGTTAGCTGCCCTAGTCAAAAGAAAATTTGATACAGTGTTAAAAAGAGGATTGTTGTAAATTATACCTGAGCTCTGGTACTAAGTAGTCCTGATTTCTGTCTAATTACGTAGTAGGCTTGGCATGTTAATACTTCGCGATCTTTTTCCTTTGGGCGGGAGGGGACTAATTTTGAATAATTTGATATATATGATTATGAAAGGAGTTGTATTTATCTTGGAACTCAATTTCTTGCAGACTCAATACTACCTCACTTGTTTAGGTTGTTCCTGAAGGATTCTGTGGTGCTGTAAGGTAAGCTTTGGTTTGTTTCCCTTGCTTTCGGAAATATAGTAATTACTTATCTTCATTTATGTTGATTACTTGTTTGTCTATCATAAACACTGCCAAAACTCCTTTGAACTTTCTTAGCCATCAACTGATTTGGCTATGGTAGACCAGCCATTCACTGGTAATTCATATCCCCAATCTGTTAGTGTATATATATATATGAGTATGGATTGACTTCTCGTGTAATGAATGATGTTATGCTAGATTATGCTAGCATTTCTTAATCAAAATCTGCTGCTGCTTTCTTTCAACAACAACAAAAAAATGTTCTCATTGATGAGAAATACATATGTTGTCTCTAAGAGTAAATAAAAAAGAATAAAAAGTAAATAAAAAGGACTTTAAAGTAAACCTATTAACTCATGTGGTAGAGCACTATGCGGAAGCATAGAGGTGTAGGTTCGATTCCTACATAGGTTATATTAAAAAGTAATTACAAAACACTCTAAAATTATTCAAAATATGTCAAACGTAAATCAAAATCTCTTAAAAGTAAGAAGAAAATCTTACGAAAATAATAATATATGTCAAAAGTAAATCATAATTCTCTAAAGTAAATAAATAATGCTAAAAAGTAAACCAAGGTATCATTGAAGTAAATCAAATTAGCTCTAAAGTATATGAATAATAAATATCTTGAAATGAGAAATGGCTATGGGAACATTGTTATAGCACAAAAACTCCGAGTCATTGACTTTCATATCCTTACAAGGCGAGTCAGATTATAAGAAACAAATATATTGAGTTCGATATGACGTAGAGGTTTTCATATTAAAAGTAAATAAAACTATATCAAAAGTAAACAAAAAAAAAAAAAAAAATCTAATAAAACATTAGGAATTCTAATCTAGAGATTACACACATAAACCTACATGGGATTCGAACCCACATCTTCTTTGCACTTGCACAATGCTCTACCTATTGAGCTAGTAGGCTATTGTAGAGTAAGAATAATTCGTTAACACAATCATTAGTTTTTAGTTTTTTTATATAAAAAAAAAGTAAATATAATATACTCAAAAGTAAATAAGAAAAGCTTAATCACAAAAAATGCATCTCCTTCCAACCGTATTCGCTTCACACCCAATCTACGTGCCACAAGTAACCTGAATCTTGCTCTGCTGCATATTTAATTTCTAACCTTCCAAAGATAGCTACTACTCATCAGGCATAATGAATTAAAAAATCAAATTATTTATCATCATAAAAAGGAAGCAAATTAATCGCAATTATACTAACCAATCAATTATAGAAACTAGTTAAGAAGAATATTCCTGTTCTTTATGTCCTTGTGAACATATGGTGGGCTTGTATATCTATGTAGGTAGTTCAGTCATGTGGCAACATCACAAGCCACCTGCATTCTTTATCCCCAACTCAAGGTTTTCTTATCGGGGCTGTCTTGGTATATCCAATCACAAAGGTCTGTTACCTGCATATCATAAACTTAGTACCAATTCCATCCTAAAAGCAAACCCCCTACAATATGATGAGAATTAAATGGTTGATCTTGTTTGGTACATTAATCTCTTTGCTGACATCTCCATCCATCTTTTTTTATTACCACCTGATTGTCATTTACATTTCCCTTATACATTGATCTCTTGATCCAATGATTAGTACTACAATTTACTGTCGCTGCTTGCAGGTCCTTGAAACTGTACACTTTCAGGGAAACCATTTTCCCTTATACACAGATCCCTTGATCCAATGATCAGTACGTATGTAGACTGCACTCTTGTTCATAGCAGCATCCCGTTTTGCTCAACTCTAAGAACTTCTGAGCAAAGCACCTACAAATATGGCACTATCAATTCAAAAATAAATAGAAATAAGTCAAAAGTAAATAAAAATATCTTATAAACATTACCAAAACAACTATGCAAAACTAGTAACCATTTGGGCAGACAACTAGGCTAATCACAGTTTTTCAAATTATTTGTAATGCTAAGCGCACCTAATCTAGCAGCCTAGTATAAGATTCATTCCATTAACTCTATGCATCGGCTGTCTCAGGGGAGCTGGGTATGTTCAGGTGAGTACAGGGGAGAGATTGGTTTTATCTCATGAAAAATGGGTGCACCCGGCTGATGGGCGGGTGAGAGTGAACACAGATGCTGCAGTTATGGAGGGGATTGGCATGGGGATGGGGTCCGCATTTGGGATTTGGAGGGGAAGCTGGTTGCTGTGGAAGATCTGCTGTTGAATCTGTGAAGCTCGCTGAGGCTCTAGCAGCAAGGATGGGAGTGAGGCTTGCTAAGAGGATTGGATTTATGATATTTATATGCATGATTCAAGAAGTATATGAATGAAATTGGACTGAGTTATATGATTTCATTTGATTTAATGACGAGAAATACGAGACCAAGTGTTCAATCAAAAGAATAACACGGTGACAATCACTGTGGTTTGTTGTAGTCTTGAGAAGATTAGAAACAAGCTTTGCTGCAAAGCTGGCAAATCCATTAAGAGCATCGAGATCAAGCCTACATCCAAGCCTGCTCCTCCCTCAACTGCCCAACCCGACAAACCTAAGCCTCTCTTGCTCCAGCATGTGAGACTCATAAATCCAAGTCCGCTCCTGCTCCAGCACCTACGCTTGAAAAGCCTAAGCCATTTATTTCAGACATGGTAATAACATAACAACTCTATATATATCCTATTCTAAAAGATGATCCTACATAAAAATACAGAAGATGAATAAGGTTGAATAAGGTAATTCCTACATCAATTATCTCTAAAGTAAAAGTAAATTAAATCTATCTAAAGTAAAATAAAAAAGATTTTAAAGTAAACCTATTAGTATATCTCCTGACCACATATAGCCATAACAATCACACAAAGGCAGCGCTCAAGGGCACAACAAAAATTGGATTTTTAAATATTAATCATCATTTCCATACTACCTGAATGAACTAGAAACAAACTTCAGAGTTTTGAGTTCTGACATTCCATACTATATCCATACTATATGAAAGCAAAGATTGGATTTTTAAATATTAATCATCATTTCCTCCCGCAAATACCCCCCAATGGCCCTGAATTTCGGTTCTGCTATACTTTTAACTAAAAATATGACCTTGTTAACCACAAGAATGGATAAAAACACAGTAAACACAAGCAGAAACACATGAAAGAATAAGCTCAAATTACACGAAATGTGAGAAACAAAATAAATTATATTGATTGATTGATCGATAACAAGTTTTCGAAGAAAAGAAAATAACAAATCAGCTCTAGTTATACTCCCCAACTGGAAAACTATACAACAGAATTATAAACTCTTGTATCTGAAACCCCTGTCCACAAATACTTCTACACTATAATTCCAATTCCAATTCCAATACAATTACAATAGAACTAGTCTACTTGTATCATAACCTACCATCAACGAACAACAACGAACCTCAAAACTCTCGCGACACCACCCATCGATTATCTCATTGCTGATTCTAAATCAAATTTTTAAACAAAAACCTAAACTGAGCAATCAAAATTGCAAAGAATAATTGAAGAATCCCTAAAATAAAAATCAAAATTACCAATACACGAACAAATAATCAAGAAAACCCTAATTTTCGCAATCAAAATCACACAAAAAAAAACTTGTTACAAAATCAAATCAAAGATCCTAATTATATATAAAATAGAAACAAAAACGACATCGAAAAAAATAACAATAGGAAACAACCAAAAGCAATAACAATAGAAATCGACTACGAAATCGAACAAAGACTAAGCAAAAACCCTAATTATAAGATGAATCAATAAAAAAACATACACAAGACCAAAAAAATCTGAAATTATCTCTCAAGAATGTTTGAATCACAACAAAAAAAGGGAGAATCATAGAAGAACAACGAAGAAGTTGCGAAATATAAGAAGAAAATCAATGAAATCGAAGAGTGATGTCGAACCGCCTTTACAGAGATCGAAGGTAGAGAGAGAAAATAAGAACGTAGAGAGAGAAAGTAAGAGAAAGAGAGAAAGTTAGAACGAAGGTCATTCAATGATCAAAATTACGAAAAATGCCTGTATAATATATATATATATATATATATATATATATATATATATATATATTTATATATAAAGGGGGATTTTTTTTATCGAGTTTTTAGAGAGCCACGAATGATTTAATTTTTTCAGCGCGCCAAGTAGGATAATAAATTTTATTGATAGCCAATTAAATTTGAGATTATTAATTTCTTTTTGAATAAAAAAATTTGAATGACATGTAAGCAAAATTGGCGAATGAGATTTTCCATTTTAAATTAATTAAATATAAAATATTATATCTTGATATCAGGAATTTTATCTAATGATATACCCGTAAAAAAAAACTAATGATATAACGAATTTTAACATATATATATATTTTAAAATATTCAAATAAACCGTGGTTTATCCATCTATATCTATACTAAAATAACAACCGTTGATGTCATTATTTCCTACATGTCACTTATTTATTTAAATTTTTCCCTTCAAAATACAAGGATGATGTCATTTTTTTTCCTTTTAAAGCTACCCTATTTAATATAGTTTTGAAAATATATTCCATTTGAATTTTTAAATTTTAAAATTTGAGTTTTGTACACATTATTATGCTATTAGTTATTTATGAGTTGTTAACAATAGTTAATAATATAATTTAATTAAAATTTCTCAATTAAATATGAAAATTATGCACTTTCAGAGATTGTATATTTATATTTAATTAGAAATTAGTTAATAAAAATGAGGAAGTTATTTTCTTTCATTACGTGATAAAAGTCTATAATTCAATTAGTTAAGAAATTAGTAGAAAAATATAAAAAGCTAGCGGTTCAAAACCCCTTTATGCCAACGGTTTTGAACCTCTGGGCATTTCGGGGGTGGTAATATTTCCTTTAAAAGCCACTGGTTCAAAACCGGTGGTAAAAACTATTATTCCCAACGGTTAACCGGTGACAATACTCACTTCCCGCTTCTTTATTTGGAAAAATAGCTCCCATTAATCTGAACTTTACCTCATCCGCCGAAATTAATCCCAACTTTCGTTTATTATCTATCATTCCCAACTTTAGGGGGTATTAATTTCTATTGCACCCAACAGGTAATCCAACCTGATGTAGCAGGTTACCTAGACACGTGTCAACACGTGATAGGTCCAAAAAAAATTAAAAAAAAAAGAAAAAAATACAATTTTTTTTTTTTAAAAACTACCAAACCCAGCCACCACCCCCCATTCTCGGAAAACACTCCATCACCACCCCACCCCGCCGGAAATTCGCGCCCACCCCCCAAACCCCTTCTTCGCTGTCGGAAACCGCCGCCCAGCCACCCCTTTCCTCCCCCCACCCCCGAAAACCCTCCCCCACCCCCAAAAACCCCTCCCTTACATCGAACAACCACCCTAAGAACCCCAGATCCGCCGCCTAGCACTCCCCCTTCCCTTCCCCCACCCCCAAAAACCCCTCCCCCGTTGTCGGATAACGGCGCCCATCCCTCCCTCACCCTCGAAATCCATCCCTTTCCCTTTCATCACCCTCAATTTCACCCCTTCCCCGACAATTAACCACGAAAACGACACCCCTTCCCCGTCAATTAGCCACGAAAATAGCTATGCTAATGTTGTTTCCAGGATCTGGGATGGGTGGTGGAGGAAGGCCGGTGGTTTTTAGTGGAAGTCGGAGGTTGTCCGACCGTTTTCTGGTGAATTGAGGGCTGGGGTTAGGGTTTTGGCGATTGAGGGTGGTGGTGGTGGTGGAGGTGGCTGTGCGTGGGTTTATTATTTTTTTTTAATTTGTTTTTTTTTTATTAAACCTATCATGATGCGGCACGTGTGCAATTAATCACAAGTCAGCAATGTTTACCAGATTAACCGCTTGGGAGTGATAGATAATAAACGAAAGTTGGGATTATTTTTGGCGGACGAGGCAAAGTTTAGATAATAGGAGCAATTTTTCCTTTTTATTTTTAATGTTAAATTTAATGCTACCGGTTAACCGGTGGCAATACTCCATGTAATTTTTTTTTTTGTTTTATTCACTTGAAATATAATAAAACTTTGGTGGATATTAATTGCTATTAATATGAGTGATTGTTATTGTTCAATAAAAAGCAAAAATTACAATCAAACAATTAAACAACATCATAATCAACTGAAATATAATTATCATTAAATTGTTATGGTACAATAACAAAAAAAAAAAAATTAAAACATAAAAAAAAAAAAAAAAATTAGAACATGAAAATCAAAAAACAAAATTACAACATCAACAACTTGATTCCAAAACTCAAAATTAAGATCTTGATTCTTCTATGTGGAGTCATAAACTAATACCCGAATCAATTAAAACACCAAATTAAAATTAATAAAACTCACAAGGAGTCTATACTCGGCCCGAGGTTCCGTCCTTAAACAAGGGCGTGAAAGGTATAAATAACTGAGAGTTTGGACCAAATCAACTCTATATTTATTTTTTATTTTTTTTGAAATAAATGTATATTTATTTAATTTAATTTCCATTTGATTTATATTTTTTATTGATGTTACTAACGATTTATTCATAATGTAGCAATTTAAAGGAACGTGCGTAATGTGAGTAATTAATTTAATTACTTATTTTATTTTAATATTGCTAGTATCATGATTAGGTTATTTTATATTTGATTTGACTAACGCTATTATTGTTAAATTTCTTCCAATATTAATTTGTGTTCTATTATTATGATCACCATATTGCATGTTTATAGGGAATATGTAATTTAAAATCACGCCTAATAAGATAATTTGGACAACCGGTTTAGGTTCCTTAGCTTTTTAATTTTGTTGTTTAATCAAGTGATCACGATATTTTATAATTATGTGTTGCATTAATATTACACCAATTTAGCATAATAATAGTTTGGAGCAAATTGAATCTTTGTTTGCATGCCTTTGAAATCGCAGGAATCACTTTTCACTATAAGAATCGAGTAGAGGCCAAAACGGGCCAATACAGGAATCACTCACTTCGTACCATACGGAGTTATTAATCTCATGGATTATGAATGAGGTGCAACTTTTACGGGTCAATCGTTGTTGTCTATCGTTGTCCTTTTCTCGTGGTTGCCTTTTATGATCCGTGAACGGTTTACAAGTTCCTTAAAAACTTGTTGGCGGCTCCCTACTATCTGTGTCCCTAGTCGTTGTCCCTAATCGTATATGTTAATTCCCACTTCCTATGAGTGCCAAGCATATTCACAAATGCTTTAACGTAGGCGCACTTTAAACGACGCCTACAAGAACAGGCGATTTTAGTAACTTCAATGCATCCGGCCAAAGGCCTGATGATATATAGTTAAGCCGCTAAGTTTTTAACTTAG